TTACTGAGAGACCAAAGCATCCAACTGTTGAGAAGAAGCCTGTTTTCCTTCGCCTAGCATTCAAAAGCAATGAGACATCTGAAAGAATAGACAGAAGAATAAAAGCTGCACTGATAAGGAGCTTCCGTGATGCCAGACTGATATCAGTTTACAATACATTATGCTCAATAGAACAGTCGAAAGTAGACAAATACCCATCTCACGTCACCTGCAACTGCGTATATCATTTCACCTGTGCTAGTGGTAGCAAGTACTTAGGATGGACTGAAAGAAGGGCGTCTACTCGATGTCATGAGCATATTCCGAGAAATCTGTGTCTGAATGGGAGAAAGGTCTTTAAAAGCGCAATCGCCAGGCATCTGATGGAAACGGGACATCAAATAGATGTTTCTCAATCTTTCAGGATGATCAACAAACAAAGAACACCATGTTTATTACGGTTTGCGGAGGCTCTCGCTATCAAACATTTTGAACCTGACCTATGTACTTAGAAGGAGACTTTAATTAATTAACCTTTCTTTACCTCGGTAAATGTATGTAATTTTTTGCATATGGATGTATATAGTCTTCCCTTTTCTTTTAATTGCATCATCTCTTCATTAATTACTTACTGAATATTAATCACTTGACGATTCTTCCAGTTTTTCTTGTAATTGTGTAACCTATTGGCCTTTGAACAGTCCCTTCTTTTGCACTGATTTTCGTTGGTCATCCCCCTACTCCACAGCTCTAGAATTTTCCATCTCATCAGATATAGATAGCCATAAATTTTGACTAAGGTATGTAACTATTAATCTTGTGTTTCTTTGACTTACTACCCTATTGTTAATCCTGAATTTCAAATCTCCATTTATTTCTGTGTGTTTAAATCATGGGTGAACGTGGAGAAGAAAGGGGTGATGAAGATACTCAACCAGAGTCAACAACAAGCACCAACCACTATCAACGGGAGAAGTCTAAGGCAAGTTGTCTCTCCCACCTACCTAGGCAGGGCACCATCGTTTCAAATACAGGTGGTGGCACATATGAGGATGTCAAAGCAGCCAGCATCGGTAAAGCAAGACAGGCCTTCATTAACCTGAAGTCAGTGTGGAGATCTACTGCACTCCACTCCACTCAGCGTAAGGCGTGAACAACAGCCGGATTTTCAACACTAATCTCAGTCAAGTCATTCAGTGCTTCTATGTGATGGTTGAGAGAATTGGCGCGTCGCGAAAAGCATTTCCAACAAAATGCAGACATACATCAACAGCTGCCACCTACGCTCACTCGATACTGAAGGTGGAAATCAGATGGCCAGAATAATAGGACTAAGCAACAAGGAACTCTGGCTGGCTGGCAACGAACCAACCAAGAAATCATTGCCCAACAAATATGTAGAAGGAAGTGGATATGGATTGGATTGCATTGCATTGGGCATACACTGAGAATACCGTTTGGGGACATCACGTGCCAGGGCAGGTCGTTGAGTGGAACTGGAATGGGAAACGACGAGTTGGGTGTTTGAGTCGAGGGTGACATGGAGGAGATCGTGTGAGGACAAAATGAAAGCTTCTGGGTGGACGTGGAGCCGGGTTCAAAAGACTGCAGAGAAGAGAGTGAAATGGCGACCTGCTACTGAAGCCCTATGTTCCACTAGGAACCCAAGAGGCAATAATAAAAATAGCGTTTATCAATTGATTTACTCATGTTGTGTGTGACTGACAAAAGTCCTATGAAAAATAATGACATCATCCTATTTGCAAATGGTGTTATTCACTTGAAACATAGTTTCATCCACCGGGCAGTTAGCGCAAAATCACTTCACACTGTTTCGTGAGATAATTGAGCACATTCATTTAAGTAATATCAAATGCACCACACCTAAGTTGCAACTCAATGTTTTTGATGACGAAAATGTCAGTCGACTCCTGGTTTCTCCGACATCGTCACCATCATCCGACAGGCAGATGCAATTAGTTACTTTTCGACAATGATCCAGGCTATGCATCTTACAACTTTAATGAAGAAATATTTCGTTGCATATCACACGACATTAAAATACGGCGCTTCACGGAAAATGAACGGGTTGGGAATCTAACACATAAGGGAAATCGAACTGATTAGATGACTGGACATAAAGATCTCTGGAACAATAAATATGGAATATAAATAGAAAATATAGTGGTGGATGTTTTTCAGTAGAGAGAAGTAGCAACTCCCAGAATGTCAGCCGGGATGTTGTTCATTCATTGCTGCAATATGGTGGGGACACTTTTAACTCCGAAGGGTAAGATGTTGTATTGAAATAACCTTTGGTGTGTGTTTATGTTTAAAAGCTAGCAGTGCTCATCCGAAACGCCTACTTCCGCACGACTGGTATGATAGTTCTACTGCACACGGTCCTTTCAACAATGAATTCAACGGTGATGCGACGCTCTTCTATTTTCACCGTCATAACTGATAGAAAAAGGCAAGATAAGCCAAAGAAAACACAAATGGTTGGAAAGTAAAAACGTGTTTCAGCCAAAATCTGGTAGATAAACATTAATCTAATCAGTTATTAAAATTCATGAGAGTGAGTCAGTGATTGTGCACGTGTTTGCAAGAGCGAGTGACTGTGGAGTATGAGACCGAACTGTGAAAGCCTCATATAACTAAACGTAGTATGGGAGACTGCTTCTCTACACACTTTGTGAGGGTTGGTGTGTGATGATTACAGTGGTGGTGCTCATGATGATGATCGTCGACATCATTATGATCAGTGTAACTCGAATATTTGTGATCGCTGTAATTGTGATGGTGGTTTGTTTCTACACCACAGACTGTGTAGAGCGCTAGGCAAAACAGTCCAGCTACTTTGACGAAGATACTTGCATTGTGTTGTTTCTATGCGAAACTCTAAAAGCATATGGGTATTTGTAGCGAGCGACGTAAACTTAACACAACGGTATTATCTACTGTCTGTAGAGATTCACAATGTGACGACATTCGAAATGACAATTGGCATATTTCATTGCCAAAGTTTTGTAAGCCATACACACAATTATTTAAATGAACGCACAAGTCGTCTTCCTTAAGTTCGGGTCCGATGTTTCTTTGGTTTACTTCTATCTATTTCCCTGCTAACAAATTATCCGCATCGATGATAGAGTACAAGAAATACCTTTACTAGCGATTGGCGACTGATATATATATATATATAAATATATATATATATATATATATATATATATATATATATATATATATATATATATATATATATATATATAATGGTGATCCACTATCAGAGTTCAGGATGACACATCATTGGCTCTTTTCTCTCTCAAATACAGTTACAAAGAATTGGATAGGAAGCGATATGAAGTTGACTACTTCGTAGACGGTTTTTCGGTACAATCTTGCGACCTTATCAAGCTGGATCGTTGTTGATAGTGACTCGGACTCAGTGCAAGCTAAAACAGTATCCAAGCAGAATGAGATGCCCATCTAGGGCTCAACTACTCAATATTTCAAGGAAATACTTAGCTGACGCATCCATAGTGATTAGTATCTTACAACGTTTATCATCAATGCCAGTTTGATTGGACCAATGATGATTGAAGAGAAAAATGGGTGGCGAAAGATTCGATTCGAATCAGTGGCCTTCGGATTGTCCATCCGACTAAGCCACAAGACCTAGCCGCTGACCACGCTTTTACTTCACTTTAGTGGCCGGGGTTGCGTCAACGTTTCATGTGATTCTGCAACGCGTAACTGACGGTTAGTCGTAATCACACCATCTGCCCAGCCAGAACCTCTCATCTAAATTGAACGGAAGAGTTAGAGCATAGTATTAATTGTTGATGGGATATATCTGCATGAGCTGTGGTTAAGAAGACACTCAATTGTAAGAATGAGACACCAAACGCCATTTTGAGATGCCATATTTCAGTGACTTCTTGAAAAAAGTAAACAAGCACACGGAAGACGTATCTTAAGCAATGAATTGTTTAATATTCAGAATGAACACGAACAGTGAATGACATTTACACTATCCATGTTCACTCTAAATTTTCATCGCAACCACTTCCTTTTTCAGACTTTTTCCCTCATCCTTTGGACCTTGACTGTTGGTTTGAGCCATGCGGGGCAATGTAGACTAGTCTGTTGGGGTCCATAGGACAAGAGGAACCAGTGGTTGGAGATTCTAGGTGATATGACTGAGAACCGATGTCAGTGGCACAAATGTATACACACACCATCATCATCTTAACGACGCTACACCGAATCTCACCATTTTCTCATTCTTCCTTCCTCTCTTTTAGCACTTTATATTTCTTTTGACTGAATTTTCTTTTCTTCATCATGCGCCTCACCGCCTTTTCACTTGATGTACTGATATGAGCTGTGGTAACTTAGACCGTTACGCAGTAATGCTTGGTCCTATGTTGATATTGATGATGATGATGAATCACCAAGGTCTCATTTCCTTCTGATTTCTACAAACTCTGCATTCCAACCTAAAAGCTGGTTAGTTTAGGTTTCAAGGCGCCGTAACTATCCGTCATACTAATTTACTCCGGGTACAAAATGTTACATGTGCTCCGACTAAATCTTTCTACTATACTGGGTGATGATTTAAGGTGAAATGAAAATCTGGCCCGCGGTAAGATTCTGACTGGTGACCTCCAGGTTATTGGGCCGATGTTCTACCGACTGAACTACGAGACCGGACGCCGATCAGATCTTAATTTCACTTTAATTACCAAAGGTTATGCCCGACTGTCATGCGAATTCGCGATGCGTGACTACTGCTGTATCGTATTCACACTGGCTTCCCAGTGTGTAACTATCTGAAATAGCTGTGGTTTAGCAGACTACTATAGTAGTGGCATAAAAATGCAAAATAATTTCTTTATTCAGTTATCACAGTAGTGTACAATGGGAAAAAAACTAACTTCCTGCAAAACGATACTTGAAAATGTAAATACGTTCGATTACAGGAAAATGTTGCCACATAGTTAGTTTATACGCATTCATTTGTGTACGAATGTTGACATATAGGCTTCTTGATATGCTAACCATTCAGCTACACGTTCCTTGTATGATGGCGATTTCTGCTTACTGAAAGGTTTTCGTTTAAAACGGTGATCGATATTAAATTTCATCCGTGGTGTTGTACGTCGCGAATAATCTTTTCTACCTATATGTAAAATAAAATGATAAATAAAACTGCTTATTGATACTTGTAATTTCCCGTTGCTATAGTGGATCGAATTGCTTGTGCCCCAATGGGCAACGTCTTAGAGCGGTAGGTACTGGGTTCGAGTCCCAGTAGGAACACTACTCACTACGGGGAAGAGGCAAGTATGCTCAGCTGACAAGCAAATACGAAATACGAAAAAACGCGTGCCCTGGATTCAACTGCTAGCCATCAAGTAGACCGCGATAAATAAATAGGTCAGCTATATTAACTATGAATAGATAAATCATACGACTCATCATAACCGAGTAGTATGAAATTATCTTAAATGCACTACTGAGGAAACTGTGACCACAGGAAAATTCGCTACACGAAATAACAAGAGAGCTGTAGCAACATATCAATGAAAAGCTTATGCATTGTGGAATAGATTAATGTGTTTTGATGAAAAGTTTACAAATGGTGTTTTGGTAATATTCCCAATAAAATACAAACTTATCATTATGTAAACTACTCATTAGAAACCTATTTATAACACATAGCTGTAACATTTATTCAGTACTACTGATATGACTACCCATGAGTAACGTATTTAATATGCCTGCCTAGGTTTCCTCTGATTGGTTGTTTGTTGTTGTTTGGATAATTCCTGTTATCTGATTGGTCGACCGAATAAGTCGACCGCTAGCCGCATTAAAATTGTCATGAATGAATGGATAAAATTCACCTTTATGATAAAATGAAACTGATTTTAAAAGTCAATAAAATGCACATTTTATGCAGGCTTCCGACGAATAGGTCTCTGAACTGAGTTATCATTTTTCGGAGTTGAACATCAAGAAAGTGGAAGTTCGAGTCTATCTCTGCTTCTCGAGTGAGGCACCAGCACCAGCGAAAATGTGAAGATTTTCAAGACTCACATTCTTATTACAAATAATGAAACTACCTACGTATCCTTTTATTTATAGATATGAAAGCTGTTGATTGCGTTGAAAAGACGATGTTTTCCATACTTGCCGTAAGGTAACTAGTCAGTATTTAATTAACAACATTTGGCTAAACATTTCAAAACAAAATCAGATGATTGTGGACAAGCATTATGTCAACTGTTCGCATATCACCCTAAATTATAGAATCACTAACTTACACTTCGGTATAATCTCTAGTTAATGTGGAAATGATGAAGTTGACTGCATCTTCTACTTATTCCAGAGATCTATCAGATAGCTAACAAGAAACAGCCAAGTTGCATGAGGTCAGCTGCTGACAAAAATTTAAAAAGCACTCAACAAATATATGCACTTTTGCAAAGTAGACAATGAGCTAGACGTATGTTGTGAGGGCGAGTGATGCTTACTATTAAGTTGCCTAGAACTCGATAGGTGGAGAAGGGATGCAAACCCACAACCCACTGATTCATCTTAAACTATATTTGAATACTTTTTATACTATAAATTTAATAATCACTAATCACCAGCATCCCACAAGAACAATAGGAAATGCTCACCTGACGGACCATTCTTTGAACTCTCACTACTAGTGAATGAGTTCGCTATTTCAACTGAATTAAATCTTCGTCTTTTCAATGGTAAAACTGGGTTTTCTGATACTGTGTGGCAAAATTTAGAAAATGTTTTAGTGACATTTTCAAAATCTATACTTACGCAGACGAGATAAGGACACACTTATATTTTTGTGACTCTACAATAAAATTATTTTTAAAAAAATATATAGCAAAAGTGTATCATACCTTTTTGCCACTGCTATTCCTGGTGTGTTCAACTTCTGCAGTCCGCGGAATTCTTGTCAATTCGTCGTCTGCATCAGAATCATAATCTCCACTATCAGAACTTGTATCTACAATATCTGTGTGAGAGTCTGTTTCACAAAGAAATGTCCTCGAACATACTATATGGAAAGAAATACCTGTATTACTGGTACGGAGAGGTTGACAATTTTCACCATCTTCATCACTATCATTATAATTATTATAACCGTTCTTATTATTCGACGACGCTACATCTGGTAATAATGATAAAAAGTCTTTGAAGACAATCAAGTGTGAAATTTAATAATAATGTTATACCTCCTTCTTTGACGACTGAAAAATCCATCAAATCTACCACATCACAGTGTGGGAATTCATAATTATACTACGTGAAGAGGGAGAAAAAAGATGATGCATACATACAGATATGCATAATATACCTACCTTATCAGCTATACTGTTCAACTTTGACGCAAAATCGGAATTTGTACGTTTTTTGGCCATTTTTATGATTGCAGGGATTTGTGCTATAACGTTAATATGATGCTGTATAAAAGAGACATACTTAGTACAAATAAAATGATTAGATCACTTATATTTAATTACCATGACTGGAGAGGTTTAAACACGGGCAATATACACACATAAGTAATAAATAAAGTTGTAACTTGGAATGGGAAATAGAGCTGTTTAATCCTGTTCAGTATCGTTTTCGCATCGTAACTAATTTCATAAAACTGGAGATGTGGCTTATTGGTCAAGGTAGTTACCATCAAACCGCTGGGCCAACGGCTCAAACCTCAACTCACTAACGGAGGTTTGAGCAGCCAAGTGATGATATGAACCTTCACATGATAGGTGTAGCTCATGGCCTGGTACAAGAACATGTACACGGTCGCTGAAAGAGTTTAGTTTGTAACTACACCCTTCGTATATCATGCAAATGATCGGTATCAATTGTGAATGACCGGAAACTAGTCTATGCGCTAAACTTAATCACTAGAAACAATACAACTCAGTAATAGTGTGCAGGTTCGCACACTAGGCAATAAGTCACACCTATGATATAAGGGTGGTGATTTCTACTGCCTAGTCGTCTAAACCCCAGTATATGCAGTGGAGAAATTGACATGTACCTGACGTTAAGATCACTTTTACTACTGATTATAAAGTTGAAAAATCCGCAAAAATTAAAGAGCATTTTGTTCTTTTAACTAAAACTGACAATATTGTTCTGTTGTTATGCTGATATCAAGTTACCACTTGATTTCAGTGGGAGAAATCCCAAGACAATGGTCTAGCAACCATAAGAATATGTAAAAATGAACGTGTACAACCTTACTGATACTTGTAATTTCTTACTCATTCTTACAATAGACCGAATTCATTGGTCTCTGTTATCAAATGAATTTCTTTAACGAACGCTGAAATTTAGCTTTACGTTAATTTTTGGTGTTATCTCCGTCATGTGAAAACTTTACAAAAAACTTGCAATTTCTCTTGCCAAAATAAGCGCTAAGATCGAAGTTATATACAGGTTAAACACCCACGTGGAAAAGCACATGATATTTCAGACTACGACTGACTAATATATAATAAATTTTATAGTTTGTGGTTCTGACTGATTTTTCCAGCGAATCTATCTATTCTAACAGAAACTATGCTATAAAAATTGTTATAATCTAGGTCTAATTCTACCAAGTATGAAATCCAATCTTTATGAACTATATATAATGCATAAATTACTTGAGTATAATGGGGGAAACACTTATTGGTGAATATGAATAACTGGTTGATGTTAAAAATCGAAACTTATTGCAACCAATAGGTGTCATCAGAAAAATTAGTAGAGTGGTTAATTAGTTTCATATACATGGATAAAGAAGTTTCTAAAAACATGCAGGTTGGTCATTCTCACGAACCTGCAAGTTGGATAACAATTTAATGCTCGCTAGCCACCTTCAAGTTGAGCTTTTAAAAGCTCTAGCGAGAATTCATGACTTATTGGGTCAACCATATGATGTGAAAGAAAATACTTGCCAACGGTATCAAATGACAGTAGCATTATATCACGAACCAACAGAAGTTAAAAACGTGTATCACTGAATTTCAACCCATTGGATGAGTTGAAACCTGCCCATTATGAGACCAGATAGTCGTGGGTACATACTGCTAAGAAGTCACGAATTGAAACAAAACAGCAGTCGAGTACTTCCACAGTCTTAATAGTTTTCTAAGTGAAGCCAAAGTGTAATGAAAACTTTAAAATATCAGCATGACGTTTTATCTTCGAACCAAATGTAGTGTACCAGTGATTATTAAAACAGAGTCCGAGGGTTTGTAAATAAGCTATGAAAGCGAGAGACTACTCTACTTTCAGGTGAATAAACGTGTCTAAGTGCGTAGTACCTATGTGCCACTGTGACAAATGAATTTATGATCCATTGGCCAAGGATTTATTCCTGCAGATCGAATCGAAAAAAGAGAAGTGAAAGAACTGAAGTCCCGATTAGCAATAGGAAAAGATGTGGTGGATTTTCATGTAGTAAGGCTTCGGAAACAAATGATGCCGAAGCCCTTATAAACAAGACGAAAACGCACTTAAATGATTTCATCATTCTGTATACAAATGCCCAGCCTCCTAAATGAATGGACCGAACTAATGTAATAGAAAAAGAAAACCCGACATGACTGCAACCCCAGAAACGTGGCTATCGGAGATTGGTAATAATGAAGCACATCTACACAGATTCTTTGTTAAAGTAACATATCAGCGTGAAGAGGTAGTACTGACTACCTTTACTTGAAGAATAACTTTAAGAGCCATAGAAATAGAGGCATACGAAGGTGGAACAAATGAAATGTCACGTTACAAACTGAAGTGGAAGAGATACGATGTCAACTTGGTCATAGTATATCGTCGTCCTGAATGTGAGGCTGAAAACTCTTTCCTATACAAAACTGACTAACTGGGCAGATGGTTGCAAGAGACTTGAACACACTATCAGTTGACTAGAACAGCCTAACAGAAGCGTCAAGTTATTCGTTTGGTGACAGGTTGACGAAAATACGTTTACTTGGCTCTTATGCAGCACATTATAGCTGCACCCTGATGCCACTATGAGCACGTCCAATTAATTCTAGGCCTAGTATTTTTGCATACACCACCTGGCGAAGGCGATCATGCTGTTGTACCAGGATAGCACCCCAGCTCGACCCGAAATGTAAAGCGAACATGATAGCTGTTAAATCGACAGCCTTTTCGGAGGACTGCACAGTCATTGCAAAAGCCCCAGATGATGGTGTATGCTCTTTCAAACTTTTATACTCGAGCTACTCAGCCGTACATTCTATGGACTGTCCTCAAGTGATGAGAACAATGTCTTGCGAGCAGAGATTACGAACTCTGAAGTATACTAAGGCGAAAGAAAGTGTTGAGGTCTTGTTAATAACCATAGTGCAACTAAGGTGTAGTGTTGAAAGATCCCAGAATAAATGCATCACAACTCACTGGTCTCTAATTCGCGTCGAAATCGATTTAGTTCAAGTACCAGTAGTAGGAGTGAACTGTAGGAGTGAAACACATCACGTTATTCCCACCTTATTTAGAGAAGCAGAAACTATCTAGTTGACTGAAGATGACAAATCAGAGGATACGGCCAATTATTTTCCCGAAATCACTGCGTAGGAACACCCAGTGGAAGCTACTTCAACAAAAGCATAGAACTCCAACTGTGCAAATCTATTGCAATGACATATTTAGCGCAGTAAGTACTCTGGATGCAAGAAAACCAACGAAACCAGATGGACTACACCGAAGGCAACTCCTGCAGCTCATATAGGACATCACTGGTCCAATGACTGTAATAACTCAACTGCAGCACTCAATCCATACATATATATTACTGGGAGTGCCATAATCGCAGCTATTCATAAGACAGGTCCCAGAAAACAATGAATAAAAACATGCAAACTTCATAGCATAAAGTGTGAAATCAATGTGAATGTGGAGTCAACAAGGGAAATTCTAATATAATACTACAATGATCAAACATCAACAAATAGCACGCACGTAGGAAGCCTCATAACACCAAAAGACTGAAGATGTGGTGAAGAATAAGCGGTATCTAACAGCCTATATACCAACTTGTGTCGAGGATAGATACACTAACAAGTCAACAGTGGCGTATAACGGAAATGTTGCAAGGTAACTAACACAGTCATACAAATGGTTCCCGCAGATATTTTCATAGTGCTGAAAAATAACTGGGCATTCACATACAACATCAAATGCATACTCGAACCTCAACAAATGGGGCGATATGAACTAACTACTGGAATCATAGAAGCAAACTCCAGCTTACTTTAACTACAGGCCAAGTGTACAACATTTGTTTCTCTCTGGTACAAAGGTGTTCAAATGTCTAACAAAAACAGCGAAGCTGGCAGGTGAAATTTAGCTAGCACTTGGTAGCTGACGCATACAAAATAACTCAGATAAATCTAGAAAGCATATTTGTACTATGTACAAGATATTGAAATGTGTTACGTCATTTGAAGCATCATCTGCGAGGAAAACCAGTGTTTAGAGAGTGAACTCAACCATATCTCTTTTTAAGTACTATTTCCACAAACTTGTAATTCAAGGAAAGTAACATTTTGATACGGAACCTGAAACTACCATTGCAGGACACAGTGGTTGGCAGCTGTCCCTACCAAACACCTCTCTTGAGGAAACCAAGCACATCGGGGTGAGCTGAGATACCTGAAAGCATCGCTGACGGTTAAAAGACATAGAGGATGTCTTATGGATAGCACCGGCACCTATTTCACTGTGACATTACTGTTTGTCGATTAACGTTTACTACTGTGGAAGAGCAATATTTGTGCGTGCTGAGTTGTCAGTTCACTTTTTCCGCTTCCGCTTTTCGTATTTACGTTTGCGTAAACACTAAAAATCTCACACGTTTCTCCTACTACAACTTACCCACAGTCTAGACGAAAGCCCAGCCGAAAATCTGTTGTCGCAAAATCAACTTACAACTGCGGCGCCGGCGTTAAATCCTGGGTTAAATGATGAGGTTCATGACAGTGCTCAGTGTCCAATATTTCCTAGTTGAGCACTGCAAAGCTACAGTTTCTGAGTTCTTATGTGTAGGTCTTGAAGCCGTTTTCATGTCTGATTCATCCCCTCAGTGGGAACGGACGTCATTTGTGATTTCCTTCGTTTGCTTCGCTGTAGATATAATTGCTCGTGGGTTGTTTCTGTTTTCTCATGGTTTAGCATGCCATCAAACTAAGAAGCTTCTGGGAAGATCGACGGTATTCTTTCAACTGCTGTTTACAAAACACTCTGGAGTTGGAGTTGTTAGTATGAGTAAAACGAGGGAAGTAGCTGTTCAAAACAGAAGGAAGGGAATATATGGAAAAAACAGTCACTATCATAGGAAAGGGGGAAAATCAAATGAAAGAGTGTAACTGCATTAGGACAATAACAATGACATTTCTCGAATACTGAGATATGTAAGAGCTGCGGTGGGCCAGTGGAATCACAGACTCCGATGAAGTATGCCAGCCAGTGTGTTTATTCAACAATTCTTTGAGTCCAAAGCAAGCATCAAGTGTGTAGATTTCAGGTTCAGATTCAGGTTTATCGTTTGAGGACAGGAGGCAGTTAGCCTGTATCAATCCTTCTCCAGTAGATTTCTGTGCTTGTCCAAGTCCCCTTTTGAACCAGTCAAATGATGATACGGGGACCACTTCCTATGGGAGTCGGTTCAAGGAGTTGATTACCCAACGCAAGAACCATTACTCCACAGAGACTATGTGCGTTCTCTGCCTTTTCAGCCCCCTGCTATGTCTTCTGGGGTGTTCCGACCAAGTCGGAAGAAAAGCAGAAGATGGATCAGGTTCGAAGTCACTTCTTAGAAGCCCGTATAGCATGAGTAGGTCTCCCCTCTGTCTGAGACAAGATAAAGTGAAGAGGTACAGCTCCTCAAGTTGATCTTCGTAGGTGAGGCGAGCCATCTCAGGGATCGTACGAGTGACCGCTCTCTGAAATGCTTCTGGAAGGTCTGTATCACCTTCCAGGCAAGGATTTGCAGCCTGCATGCAGTTTTCTAATTTAGACCTAACTAAGGATGTGTATAAGATGGTGGACATGTCACCACTTATTTTGTAAACATTCTGCGAAATTCCCAAACTGTCCTAAAATTCCAAGCTGCTACCATTCGACGGCGTGCTGTGGTTTCCAAGCCATTGCTCACCGTGACTCCCAGGTCATTGTGGGTCAGTACTGACGGTAGAGGAGTCCCATCAGAATCGTGGGGGTTGCCATGCATATGCCCCAAATGCATGCTCACACACTTACTCTCGTCGATTGGCGTAAGCCACTTCTCTGACCAGGTACGTAAGCCGTTTTGGTCTCTCCAGAATGCACGAATATCCTACTCATTCCTAATTTCCTGCCAGATTTTTACACCATCAGAGCAGAGAACCACAGAGGATTTGGAGGTATTAGCCAGATGATTTACGTATAGGAGAAATGGTAGGAGGACCCAGGACTGTGCCTCGGGGTACTCGACCCTCTACTGACTTCTAAGAGGAGGGTTGGGAATTGATACCAACTCTTCGTCCCGTACCACTAAGTCACTCTCTTATCCAAGCAAGCAGACTGCCAGCCATTCCTAAACGTCCCAGCTCCCTGAGCAACCTGGAATGAGGTACTTTGTTGAACACCTTACTGAAGTCTGTGAAAATGACACTTACATGTATCCCATTATCTTTACACCTGACCCAACTTTCCATGGCCGTGAGCAGGTTTGTCAAGCAAGAGAAATTTCGGCGAAAGCTATGCTGCGAAAGAGACAATAGAGTGCTGGTCTCTAAGTGGACTGTGATGGCTTTCTTGATTGCTCTTTCTAGGAATTTAACTACACTAAACAAAATCATCGGCCTGTAATATGATGGGCGCTGCCTTGAACCTGCCCTGTGGATAGGTGCCACTATGACATACTTCCAGCCATAGGGGAGTGTGCCCTCACCGAAGGACAGTTTGGATGTGGTAGTTGATGGGCCAGCTACATAGAGTGCAAGCTGTCTGAGCAGCCTTGGGTACAACTCATCCAGTCCCGCCGACTTTTCCACGTAGAGATTACTCAATGTCCGAAGTACATTATCGCGATCGATATCCACAGAGTTCTTCCTGTCATATGTCAACGCCTCTACTGCTGAATAAGTGCACACAGGAGACTTCAGCAAAACAGCCAGCCATAGCCTCTGGTTTCTCCTTATCATCTTCGATCAAACATTTGGCTTATGTCCTTTTGATTGGGGCGGGTGTAGCACGATACATCTTGTTTCCAAAGTTCATGTGGGAAGATAACCCTCAGGATGTTGAAATGCAGCTTGGGCAAGACGTGTCCCAGAGCATATTCCAGAATGGCGGATAATGGCGATACGTTTATTTCAGGCTTCTTTGTAACGCTTCATTACTGTAGAGGCACCAATGTGGGTGGCAAGACTCCAACACTTTTCCTTACCTTGTAGCAAGATTCGGATGTCAGGGTTTATCTGCGGGGGACAAAGTTCCTGCCCCCTCTGACACAGTTCACGCATGAACGGTCGAGACACTCTTGAATATAACTGTTTGAAGGAGCAGTATGCAGCCTTAACTGAGGCTTCCGGATTGACTGCTGAGTCCCCCCGAAGAGGCTGACAAGTTGGTAGCCCCATTATTCGCTTTTTTGGCATTGGGTCCAGCTGCGGCGTCGTCCTAGTGTAAGATGGCTTCTGTAAATCTGAAGATGATCACAGCGTGATCACTTTTACGAACGGGTATGGGATGTCGGATGCAGCATACAACATCTGTATGTGATGATGCTGAGTCTAGAACCGATGGAATATGCTGATGGTCATATCTGGTTGCTGTCCTAATGCGCTGCATACGGTCTAAGCGAATTGGTGTTTCCACTAGGCCGTGATCAAACGAGGTACTCGCTGCTGTTGCTGCTAGTCTAGCCCAGTCAACTTATAGTGCGTTGAGGTCTCCTATAACTAGACATCGGCATTTATCTGTCCAGGGGGATCAGCCTATTTGAGAGGAAGTTTGCTGCACCAGATTCAGGGCTTCGATATGCCACGATTGCGTTAACATCTTGTCCCCTGCATTTCAGTCAGCAGTGCAGCATTTCATACGCAACCGTTTCCATGGCTTTAACAGTTAAGGTATTCTTGACTTAAAGGATGACACCGCAACTTCTAAGCACCAACCTATCACTCCTGGAGAGGGCGAATCCTCGTGTGTCTTACTGACACTGATCTCGGAAGACAGCCAAGTTTCCGAGGTGAAGATAGCGTCAGAACTTTTTTGTCTACTATATTACTAAGCTCAACCTGACTGTTCAAGAGACTACGTGCATTTGTGTACAAGACAATGAAACTACTTCAGTGAGTTTCCGTCCCGTCCATAGGGGCTTCAGAGCCATTCATTGCCAAATCCTCACCACAGGAGATTCCGCCAATTTCAGATCTTGCTCTTTTGCCATTCGCCCGGGTTTTAGTCCTGCTTCCGCCCCCCATTTTTTGATTCGACCAGCAAGAGCCAGATCCCTACACACGATGATAGGCTATTTACCATGAAGAGCATTGATTGAGGGATTTCAACCAGAATTTGTAAATTCATTAAATCACACTTTCTACGCATTTCTTGCTTGTTTCGGATGCTCTTCGGGAAAAGGAATGTTCTCACTGCTTTGGATTGCCCCACTATAGGAGCCGTTGCTGTTTCCCCTGAGACAACATTCCAAATAGTGCATGTTTTCAGCAAGAGGACGTTGGCTGTGACTCTGGTATTAGCCTTTTGCTGAGTTACTGTCGTTGCGTTCATATGCGTATGTCATTTCCAAGATGATAGTGATCGTTTGTCAGCGCGGTTTGGCTGATATATAGTTTTTGTGCTGTCTCCAAGTCACCTCATTTCCTTGAATGGTTATGGGCGAATGGGTTAGGCTGTCGGAGGCGCTCAGAGTACAGCATAACTTTAGCCACACGGCGTTTTCGCCGTCCCTCTATGCTCTTTTCCCAGGACGTCTCAGGCTGGCGTGAGCAGTGGAGGGTTTACTGTGACGTCAGTTTCAAGATGTTATCTGAGAAACTTTAAGGGGTCCATGAGGAAGAGTTCAAAAGTGAGGACCTAGATCACCTCCAAAGGAAGTACGTAACAGGCCATCTTTGCATTCATTTATTTAGACCTCAAACTACTGTCTGGTGTGGCAAAGAAAATGAGGTTCACGTCTTGCTTCTCTGCTGTTTGTGGAATAGTGTGGGCTTCCCGGTTGATTCCACTGGCTATAGGAGTCTGAAGATGCTCTAATCTGCACTTCTTCAGATTACAGCCTCTATCAGTAGTAGCTCATCATGACTCTAGCACACATTCCAGATGGGTAAACCCTTCATGAAGATAGGATTCCGCCGTCTTTGATTCAAACTTTGATGCCCAGCAAATGCGCCCTAAACTAAGAGGTTGATGGTTCAGTGAATCCTGCTTCCAAGACCATCATTATTAATGTATTGTGTGCAGGAACCACCAAAATTTTTCGCCAGGTTAAGAAAAATGACTTGAAAAATTCATGCACTGCCTTTACCATCCATTCAATCGTCCCAAGCTATCTGCAAGTTCGTGGCACCAAACTTGGCAGCCCGGAAACTATGTGGGGTGGAGCGAATGTTGTCATTCCACCAAACAAAGTACACAAACAACATCGGTTGTCAGACTTTCCAGAACTTTACGGGCATAAACAGCAGGGCCATAGCTGTGTGTCTACTCACGTTCATTCTGTTTTCGCCTGTGAATCTTATTGAAAAGGGGTGTTGCTCTTAATTTATCTACACGAGGCCCTATCTATTCAACATGCGGACGGGACACAAAGAGGAGGCTGAGTTTCTTGGCTCAACTTTTTACTGTCACCGGTGTTAAGGCATCACAACCTGTAGATTTCTCCAGCCTGATTTTTGACAG